AAACACTACTTTAGTGACTTGACTTCTTCTTGATGTTAAGATTTGGCAAGCTGTTTCTTGTTTACTACTGAGAAGACAGAGATTCAACAAAATTTCCAAACTCAAAGAAAGAATATAAAACAGTTTTGTTAAAAATATTGCTCATATCTTTAAATGCATTTATTGAAATCAATGAATGTTTGTTTTGATCTTTTCATGAAAGACAACTTTAAGCTCGAGAACAGTTTGAGGCCAAAGTGTACGGTACTTTCCAACAAGTAGCACATGTGTAAATAGGACTTAAAAAATTGTTCATTTTCAAATTCATTTTTTGTATTATTGACTGATAGCATTAAGCACTTTGGGTTTTTTCCTTCTAGCTTAATTAAAAATTGTTTCAAACCATCACATGCACACAGTGAAAATCAAATCTTAAAATTAGAGTTTTTTTCTGTTAAATACCAATTCATACGCGATCTGCTTTGAACAAGCTGTGCTGCAATGTTGGTATAATAATGCCAAGTTCTTCTTTTAGTCATTTACTATTAATAGTTTTGCAGTCTACATGATGGAATTTGAGTGGACTGATTTATTGACTGATTGACTGTTTCTTTGATTGAGTGGTCCTTAGCTGATTGACCAACTGACTAAATGAGTGACTAGCTGACTAACTGAATGACTGTCTGGCTGATTACATGACTGACTACCTGACCGATTGACTGACTGTCTAACCGTCTTACTAACCAACTGACTGCAGATTATATTACTGAGTAACCGATGGATTAACGGACTGATTGACTGACTGACTGACTGACTTATTTAAGTGATTGACTGACTCATTGACTGACAAAATGGCTGACTTGTCGTTGACTGACTGACTGATTAATTAATGACTTTCTAATTTACTTACTGAATGACTTACTTATAGTTGACTGACAAACTGGCAAACTGATTGACTGATTAGCTGACTTGCTTTTCTGACTGACTGGAGGGCGTTCTTACCAACTGAGTGGCTGTCAATTTGACTAGCTTACTGATGGACTGGCTGATTGACTGACTGACTGGCTACCATGTTGACTGACTGACTCATTGATTGACTTGTTGAGTAACTGACTGATTTATGGACCTACTGACTAGTTAACTGACTGGCTGATTGACTGACCAAGCAACATACTGATGAACTGACTGGCTACCTGACTGACAGACTGACAAATCAACTAAGTAACAGTTACTTACTAACTTAGTGAGCAACTGACTTACATGTACCAACTAGCTGACTTTCTGACAAACTGACAAACTAGGTAACTGACCTTCTGACTGACTGACTCAGGACTAACCGAGCAACTGTCTTACTAACTAAGAAACTAGTGAAGTGACTGTCTGACATACAAACTGAACAACTAACTGACTGAGAAACTGACCAATTTACTTACTAACTAATCAGCTGACTAGATAACTGAGCAATTCAGTAACTGGCTAACTGTCTAACTTACTGAGTGACTGAGTACCTGAGTCACTGGCTGATTGTTTAACTGATTGACTGGTTGATGGAATGACTGATTGAAAACCTGACAGAATGACTGACTGATTGAACATCTCACCAAGTATCTGACTAACCTCAAGCAACCAACTAGCTGACTGAGCTGATAAGGCCACTTACTAGCTGACTGGCTACCTGACTGACAGACTGACTTACTGACTGAGTGCCTGACTGACTGCGTAAGGAGAGGAGGGGACTGTTATTAAAGGAGGAGTACCATTTGCTAGTACAGTCAAGGTGTGGGTATTATGTGGTAAATTATTCCAACATGTTTGCACACTGGTATTCATGAAAATGTGATGCAGTCAAACCTTTTTAATATGGGCACTAAGTGGACCAAAGTAACAAATTGTCTGTATTGAATTTAGAGAAAGATTAAGGCTTTCTTTCCCCAGGGACAAAGCAAACTGTCTATAATAATAAGCTTTCCGAACTACGTGGGGTCTGTAAAGCAAGGTTTGACTTTAATGGGAAATTAGTCTGTTCTGAAAATAACTGATGAGCTTCACTGAATATTTTAAACTTTTGTTTCCAGATCAGATGCCACAGAAAGACTGGACAAGGACCTTCATGTGCCAAGAGCCTCTGTTATCTTCAGTAATGTAAGTGCTGTATGATTTGTGTTTTAATCCAGCTGTTAAGTAAACCAGATAAACAGAACTGTTTGGTTTAAAGTTTCATAAAGTGACTGACTGATCAACTGATGTTTTTAAAAATTTGCTTTGTATATTTCTAACTAATCCACTAACCATTTTGACTGACTGACTGAGCAACTAGTTACTGGCTGACTGACTGACTGACTGGCTGACTGGCTGATGGAATGACTAATTGAGCAACTGACTGACTGACTGAATGTGCAATTGGGTACTTGACTGGCTGTCAGAATGACTGATAGAGCAACTGACTGACTGACTGACTGTCCAGTAGGGTACTTAACTGGCTGTCAGAATGACTGATAGAGCAACTGACTGACTGACTGACTGTTCAGTAGGGTACTTAACTGGCTGACAGAATGACTGATTGCGCAACTGACTGACTAACTGAATGTGCAGTTGCTACTTGACTGGCTGTCAGAATGACTGATAGAGCAACTGACTGACTGACTGACTGTCCAGTAGGGTACTTAACTGGCTGCCAAAATGACTGATTGAGCAACTGACTGACTAACTGAATGTGCAGTTGCTACTTGACTGGCTGTCAGAATGACTGATAGAGCAACTGACTGACTGACTGACTGACTGACTGACTGTCCAGTAGGGTACTTAACTGGCTGACAGAATGACTGATTGAGCAACTGACTGACTAACTGAATGTGCAGCTGCTACTTGACTGGCTGTCAGAATGACTGATAGAGCAACTGACTGACTGACTGACTGTGCAGTTGGGTACTTGACTGGCTGACAGAATGAGTGATTGAGCAAGTGACTGACTGACTGAATGTGCAGTTGCTACTTGACTGGCTATCAGAATGACTGATAGAGCAACTGACTGACTGACTGAATGTGCAGTTGGGTACTTGACTGGCTGACAGAATGACTGATAGAGCAACTGACTGACTGACTGAATGTGCAGTTGGGTACTTGACTGGCTGTCAGAATGACTGACTGACTGACTGTGCAGTTGGGTACTTGACTGGCTGACAGAATGACTGATTGAGCAACTGACTGACTGACTGACTGACTGTGTACTTGAGTACTTGACTGGCTGACAGAATGACTGATTGAGCAACTGATTGACTTACTGACTGTCCAGTAGGGTACTTGACTGGCTGACAGAATGACTGATTGAGCAACTGACTGACTGACTGTGCAGTTGGGTACTTGACTGGCTGACAGAATGACTGATTGACTGTGTAGTTGGGCAACTTGACTGGCTGACAGAATGACTGATTGAGCAACTGACTGACTGACTGTGCAGTTGGGTACTTGACTGGCTGACAGAATGACTGATTGACTTGACTAACTGTGCAGTCGGGTACTTGACTGGCTGACAGAATGACTGATTGAGCGACTGATTGACTTACTGACTGTCCAGTTGGGTACTTGACTGGCTGACAGAATGACTGATTGAGCAACTGACTGACTGACTGACTGACTGTGCAGTTGGGTACTTGACTGGCTGACAGAATGACTGATTGAGGAACTGACTGACTGACTGTGTAGTTGGGTACTTGACTGGCTGACAGAATGACTGATTGAGCAACTGATTGACTTACTGACTGTCCAGTAGGGTACTTGACTGGCTGACAGAATGACTGATTGAGCAACTGACTGAATGTTTGAATGTGCAGTTGAGTACTTGACTGGCTGACAGAATGACTGATTGAGAAACTGACTGACTGACTGACTGTGCAGTTGGGTACTTGACTGGCTGACAGAATGACTGATTGATTGACTGATTGACTTACTGACTGTCCAGTTGGGTACTTGACTGGCTGACAGAATGACTTATTGAGCAACTGACTGAATGACTGACTACATGTAACTGAATTTACCAAGTGACTAACTGCAAGCAACTGACTGACTGACTGAGCAACTGACTTAGGGACTGACTGGGTCTACAATTCAGGGGTCAATTTAATAAAACTTTTACAAGTGTATCCATTGTTTAGAGTCTGTGTTAATCACACCCTGAACAAATGAACTTCTTTACTCCATTACAGTGAACTTCAATTTTCTGTTTTCTCACTCAGAGGTTTCTGATAACAACAATTAAACCAAAAGAAAGCTATACATAATCAAACCAAACACTAAATACAAAACAAAGAAATGTACACAGAGAAAGAACCTGAAGAAATAAACTAAAGGTCGGAAATTAAAAACACACACACACACACCTGACGGTGAAGGTATTATCCAAACAGTGAAGGACAATGCATAAAGTATGACAATGGCATTCAAGCGATCCTCGAATAATGGTCACAAATGTTACACTAAACGGCAGGATAAGTGACCTGGAACTTAAATTACACCCAAAAAAACTACTGGTCCTAAATCAGTGGAAAGAGTCTGAAATTATATTGTTACAGCTGTACACTTGTAAAATTATAATTGTAAAAGTTCTATAAAATTGTTACCAGAATTGTTATTTGCTAGTACAGTCAAGGGATGGGTGTTAATTTATTATAATTCATGTGTGGTAAATTATTCCAACATGTTTGCTCACTGGTATTCATGAAAATGTGATACAGTCAAAACCTTTTTAATATGGGCACTAAGGGGGCCATAGAAAGTGTCCATATTAACGGGATGTCTAGATTAAGCAGGGACAAGGCAAAGTGTCTGTAATTGTTAGGTTTCTGTATTAAGTGGGTGTCCATAAAGCAAGCTGAGGTTTGAATGTTAATGGAAAATTGGTCTGTTCTGAAAATAACTGATGAGCTTCATTGAATATTTTAAATTTTTGTTTCCAGATCAGATGACACAGAAGGACTGGACAAGGACTTTCATGAGCAAAGAGCCTCTGTTATCTTCAGTACTGTATGTGCCCTATGTTTTGCTTTGTAATCCAGCTCTTGAGTGAACCAGATAAACAGGATTGTTGGCCAGGTGATTTCAAAGTTTGATTAAGCTAATCCAGGGAAAGCTGTTGTAGCATAGTTCCATGTACCGAATTCTTTCATTTCACAGTTATTTCACCATCAAGTGTACCACTTTTGGGTCCCGGAGTAGAAGTTTATCAATCTTACTTTTTCCAATAAAACAACAACGACAACAACAATTCATAAACTAAAAAAATGTGCAAAATAAAATGCAACATAAAAGTGCAAAACTCTAAAGTAAAATTAAATCAAGTACAGTTGTACAGCTTGGTCAACATTGCTATGATGAAAATATAATAATTTAACCCAGAATCATCCAATTGAGTGTAGTCCTGAACAGCTACAGCTGTTCAGGATTCAGTGACTGGCATTTCTAAAGTGTATAAAATAAATCAACAGAATCAAACAAATATTTTATTATTGACTTCTGAATAAATAATATTGGTACTTCAAGACCAAGCAAATAAAATCATTATTTTTAAGGGATGCATTTAGCATTTCTGTTGAACTTTGTGTGAATTGTACATTTTAAATTAAATAAAATGCTTGCAATCGCCAGTTTTATGTCTGCAGGGAATCACAATACAAAGACAGCTGAAATGCATTGAAATCTTTTTGGTTTCAAGAACAAAAATAATTTGATTGATTACTAAAATTCCAAGAGACATGCACTTGTTGGTGAAGTACTCATGATCAGAAAACTTAAATGCAAAAACCGTGGTCATTATAAGTTTTCTCCTGGATTAGCATTTATCGACTTTGTTCAACTGTCACAACATTTAAATCAATAGCCAAGTTCTGCTGATATAATAATAATAATAATAATTATGTGGAATCCATATTATTATTATTATTATTATTATTATTATTATTATTATTATTATTATCATTATTATTATGAGGCTGTTATTATAGTACCTGTTGGTGCAGATATGCAGTCCTTATTGTACCCTTCAAATTTCTTACCACTTTGATCTATTCAAATGACTGTCTGACTTAATAACTGAATGGGATGACTGTGATGACAAGGATAACTAGCATGACTACTATAACTGGGATGGCTGGAATTACTGGAATAAATAACATGACTGGGACTGCTAACTTCTATGACTGGGATGATACTGACGACTGGAATGACAAAGATGACTGGGATTTTTGGGATTACTAACATTGCTAGGATGATTGGAATGACTAGGGTGACTCAGATGACCAGGATGACTGGGATGAATAAGATTACTGAGATGACTGGGATAACTGGAATGACTGGGAATGACTGGGATGACTGAGATGACTGGGATTTTTTGGGATTACTAACATGATTGGGATGACTGGGGTGACTGTGATGACTAAAATGACTGGGATGACTAGAGTGACTAGGATGACTGGAATGACTAAGATGACTGGGATGACTAGGATGACTAGGATAACTGGGACGACAAGGGTGACTAGGATGACTGGGATGATTAGGGTGACTGGGATGACTGGGATCACTCGGATGACTTGGGTGACTGGGATGACTGGGATCACTAGGACGGCTTGAATGGCTGGGACGACACTGGCTGACTGGAATGACTGATTAAGATGACTAGGAAAACAAGGGTGACTAGGATGACTGGGATGACTTGGATGACTGGGTTGACTGGGATGACTAAGATCACTAGGGTGACTGGGACAACTAGGACGACTGGGATGACTAGGATGACTGGGATAACTGGGACCACTAGGATGACTAGGGTGACTGGGATGACTGGGATCACTAGGATGACCAGGGTAACTGGGATGACTGGGATCACTAGGATGACTAGGGTGACTGGGATCACTAGGATGACTGGAATGACTAGGATGACTAGGGTGACTGGGATCACTAGGACGAATGGAATGACTGGGGTGACTAAGATGTAGGCTTTTATAGATTGTGGTAGCATAATTTTTAGCATAATTTGAGAAAACTAGCATAATTTTTCCCATTTTTTTAAACGTAGCACCGCTAACATAATTCGCATATTTTGATAATTATCGGAACATTTTTGGGTTTTGACAGTTACGTTTATTCCCGAATCCCAATTATACGCTGACGTTGTTCGATGTTTTAGGGGTATTTGCAGTTAACTAAGCCCGGAAATGGGGGCCTGGGACAAGGGTGTACTCATGGCAAACCATGTCGGTCTTTGTTTTTTCTTGAAGATCATTGTTAAAAGAAGTTCGAAGCATGAACAAAAAACGGACACGGGAAAGGATATGTATTATAGCTAACAAGAATAAACGGCTTCTGATTAAAGAAAATGTATTTTTGGACTTATTCGCTATGGTTTTTGAAGAGCACAATTATAAAAAAAGCTAGCATAATGGTATGATGAGTTACTTTTACTAGCACAATCTATGAAAGCCTACTAGAATGACTAGGGTGATTGAGATAACTGGGATCACTAGGATGACATGGATGACTACTATGACTAGGATGACTGGGATGACTGGCATGACTTGGGTGACTGGGACGACTAGGGGGACTAGGATGACTGGGATGACTGGGATAGGTAGGGTAACTGGGGTAAGTAGGGGGACTGGGATGACTGGGATAACTAAGATGACTGGGATAGTTAGGGTAACTGGGGTGAATAGGGGGACTAGAGTTATTTGGATGAGTACCATGACTGGGATAATTGGGATGACTAGGGCGACTGGAATGACTGGGATGACTGGGACAACTAGGGTGACTGGAACGACTAGGATGACTGGCACGACTAGGGTGACTGGCACGACAAGGGTGACTGGGATGACTAGGATGACTGGCACGACTAGGGTGACTGGCACGACTATGGTAACTGGAATGACTAGGATGACTGGTAGGAGTGGGGTGACTGTGATAGATAGGATGACTGGGATGACTGGGATGACTGGGACGACTAGGGTGACTGGGATGAGTAGGATGACTGGCATGACTAGGGTGACTGGGATGACTAGGGTGACTGGGATGACTAGGATGACTGGGATGACTAGGATGACTGGCACGACTTGGGTGACTGGGACGACTAGGGTGACTGGGACGACTAGGGTGACTGGGATGACTGGGATGATTAGGGTGACTGGGATAACAAGGGTGACTGAGATGACTGGGATGACTGGCACGACTAGGGTGACTGGGACAACTAGGGTGACTGGGATGACTGGCACGACTAGGGTGACTGGAACGACCAGGATGACCGGCACGACGAGGGTGACTGGGATGACCAGGATGACTGGCACGACTAGGGTGACTGGGATGACTGGCACGACTAGGGTGACTGGAACGACTAGGATGACTGGTATGACGGGTGACTGGGACGACTAGGATGACTGGCACGACTAGAGTGACTCGCATGACTAGGATGACTGGCACGACTTGGATGACTGGGACGACTAGGATGCCTGGCACGACTAGGGTGACTGGGATGACTAGGATGACTGGGAGGAGTGGGGTGACTGTGATAGATAGGGTGACTAGGATGAGTAGGACTTTTAAAGTCACTTGCTTGGCTAATGGAAAAAAAATTCCGCCTATTGATTTTGATTCTGACTGAACAGAATCAGTGCAGAATAATCTGACATTTAACCCAACTGTTTCAAAAGACAGACCGATGTTTGAACTGACCTGCATGACAGCTGAAGGGTCTGACCAATTCACAGTGGCCTGATTTTGGATTCGTATTTTAACGGTATAGTTGGTAGACTGCATATCTGTGCTGACTTGTATATTCGTATTCTGTGAACTTGATGAGTGCATTTCAAATCTCCTCTTGCTTGCGTCTTATATTAGGAATGACTGAATGCACTTCACATTGATGATGTGCAGTGTAGTGCTTCTTGCTGGCTGCTAACTATTTCAACGATTGCAATAGTTATACAACCAATAAGATCGTCAGCCAACCTAAGCCATCATTTGATGGGGGTTGGGGGGGGGGGGGGGGGGGAGAGGAGAGTTTGTTTGTAGGTAAAACTGCAGTCGTGGCAAATTGGAAAATTGATCTGTTGTTTTGTTTGAGAGCTTGAATTTCTGACTGACATTCAACACTGCAACAACTTACCTTCCTATTCTTGAAGGTGTTTTTTCAGTTCAAGTGAATAAAATGTCTAAATTCAATATACTTCACAAGTGAATAAAATGTCTAAATTCTTAAATTCAATTCCATTTTTATTTCCACGTTCGGGGAAAATTTATTCCACAGTTTCTATCACAGGAAAATAAGATTTGGCATGGGTGAACTGGATTATTCCTTTAATTTGTTTTTAATTGATTGTAAATTTGGATTGTGGAAAACAACAGCAAGTGCTTTGAGTATGAATTCTGACATTCGTTGAATTAATTTCACCAATATAATCAGTCTTCTGCTTCCAAAATGGAATACGAATTACACAGCAACAACAACAGCAACAATGAAATGATTAAAATAGAGTCGCCAAAATTTCTGCCGCAGTGTTTTACGTTTGACAAACTCTGAATAAAACTGGGCGTGGAAAATTTAGTGTTCTTCTGAGGAGGTAAAGTGGGGAGATTTAAAAAATTTGCACTCATCTTTTTCAATTCCAGAGTGATCAACATGTTATTTCTCTTTACTTCTTTGAGTAAATTACCAAGCGGAAGGGTGTTGAAAATAAACATAATCATGATGGGGAGGCTTTGTCATGATCAACTGTCAAATTCTCAGAACTGATGGTAAGGAAAATCCGCAATGGTTAGTAAAGAAAATAACATGTTAAAACTTGGGACTGAAAGTTCACAGTAACCTTAAGGCCTTCAGATCAGCGGTTTGTTTTGCAATAACAATGTAATCCATAATCCATAACTACATGTGCAATTAACAGCAACTCGTATCAAACTTGGAGTCTTTTTTTCGGCCGTTATTTAGGCTCCTCACGCAAAGTCGAGAAGCTCAAAAACGGCCTTGAAGAAGATCACAGGCAAGTTTGACATCGGATGTTACAGCACAGTAAAGTTCTTTCTGTTAGGGTTTTTTTTCTATGTGCATGTGTTTTGTGGGATGCCGTTTAATGAAAAACAAACCGCTTACTGAAAAAGTCTGAAATTTATTTCCTTATGTTTTTCCAATTTTTGAAGCTCAAGCAATCACAAATGAAGACGGCAACAACAATGGCACCTAACAAAAGGCTTCAAATTGCACGCTCGCTTTCATTTTTTTGCACATTTATTCAAGGTTCTGAGAGCACAAACATTTAGCCATGTAATATCAAATTCAAAACGCGCGCGTACAAAGTTCAAAGTAATAGGTAAATTTAAAATGCTGAGTAAATTAAAACGACAGGAGGCTTTCCCAGCTCGCTCGCTTTAACTTTTTACACGTTTTTTCGTTTTTGTACGTAAAGCGACAAGAAAAGTAATAAAAAAATCATGGATTTGAGACGGAACAAACATTTAGCCATCAAATATCAAATTCAAAATGTGCGCGTACAAAGCAAATCAGTTAAAATGCTGAGAAGATTTAAACAATAAATGATGTTCGCATAACCGCTAATTATTTTTTCAAGTGCCGATCTTGCTGCCGTCGCTTTGTTGATTGCTCAAAGCTCTATATTATGTGAAGCAGAACTTGGCTTATTATAAGGCTCAGACAAACAGTGAAATATTTCGCGCAGTAACTTTGCACTGTGTTTCTACTCCTATAAAGAGTTATAAAGGAAAATTACAACGCTTTATTATTATTTTTTTTGCTTTGGAACATTTCCGACAAGGTTTTTGGGGGTCGAAACACAGTGTAATTTTAAGGCTGGTTTTACTAGCAGCGTACCACAAACTTAAGTTTAGCGAGGTCATCAACAACTGAAGTTTATTAAAATACAAAACTGAAGGTGTGAGCGCAAAGAGTATTCTTGTTTTCTCGTCGTAAAGGATTAATACAACATGAGCTGAGCACAACAAAACAAACTTTGTTTTGGTTTATCTTGCTTGTGCTTATGTTGTGTTAATTCTTAGCGAGGAAGA